CCTTACGGGCCTGTTGTCGTTCCCAGCTTATGTATACACCTAGCTAATTCTAAAAATAGTTGTCGTCGCCAAAGGCGCGATAGGCGATAGAAGGCGATTGGCGATAGGATTTCGTTGAATACAAACAACATTGAATCAGTCTCAACACTAAGGTCCATGTTCTTGACGAGAATAAAAAGCAGAAACAAAAATCTGTCCAGCTATTCTTGGATCTTGGAATGACCTATCTCCTATTGCTTTTCTCCTATATTGCTTATAGCCTTTGGCRATGAAAAAGGTTTTTGAAGTAGGTGTATGACGTCACCATTCCCTCGTCTCGTTTCAGCAGAGCGTCCCAAACGCCAGAGAGACAGCGACGCTCATTGGAGTCTCCTGTTATCCAACAGGAAGTTTAACCCTGTCGGCCCGCACGAATAAATTCTTATACCATCCCTGTGAAGTTATAACAACCCATGTAACGACTGGAAACGAGGCTTATAGGGGTGCGCGTATTATCGAAGCATCGCTGGTCAGGCTGACTGAGTACGACGATGGAAAAAGTGAGAAACCAGGCTAGTCACATAATTTATATTGAATTCGTCTTATTCCGGTATAAGTTACGATTACGATTACGATAAGTTACGAGTGCTCTATGAGATGGATGTGACCATTTTTTAATCTAAATTAGAATTGCTGCAAGTTCAGTAAAGACATTTTAATCCTCATGTGACAGAATGTTTGCGCGAGTAAAAGGTCGTACGTAACGTAACAGCGACATTGACGATCGGTGTCAATCTTCTTTCTGGAACCTTAATTTCGTACTACGCATGCTCAACAAACTAATTAAGTTGTTCGACCCAAATATTTCTTCGAACATGCAAAGTAAGAAAAAGGAGATTTTGGAACGAGATTGCACCAGTGTCTTTTCGTCTTGCGCGCGAGGCGCAAGAGTGTACATACGTGTTTTGTAACATATCTCATATCTAAAGTCCAGTCTGGCACTAACGCGGTGATAGAAAGCCCTTTTCGTTTTCTAGAAAGCCTAGGCAAATCAAAAGGTATTTATTTTTAACAAGTTGTATTCTAATGGACTTTAATTTCTACAAGGTAACAAAACACATAGCAAACAAGAAGTAGTGCGCGTTGAAAAAGAAGTCGAAAATACTGGTGAAAAAGATCTTCAGTTGGTTCTTCCCGCTCAATCACTACAGCCAACCATGATGCGCGCATGCAAATGCATCAAAGTGAGTTATTATTTAAAGGTGAGTGAATTAAAATATTTCCGCTTGGGCTGCCTGTGGCTGGATGCTAGAACAATTAAATATATTTGCTCTCGAGAATTGAATTCTTTCTCATGTAAAACGATTGTATTGTTCCTGCCATCTAACATGGCTGCCGTCACGTGATGCTGCAAAACCTCTATTACTATCGTGGAAACAATTTACTGTGACATAGCGCGCATTGATTTCTCTTACATATCAAGAAATTGCTCTATAAAACTTGTCGTTTCTGCTCAGCCATTTTCTATGTCCATATATGGAAACTACTTAACATATTTGAAGTTTGAGGTATGTTTGTATTGCAAAAAAGACCTTTTTCGAGGTAAATTTTATCCAAACTTACAGAAATTTGAGTGGAAACACATTTCTACGTCGGCCATTTTGTTTTTTGTCCAAGAAAAGACTGGAAAAGAGACACAGGGTAACCGTTGTTTGATAGGCTGTTTACCACAGGAAGCCCGCGAAAACGACACTGATTGTTTGATATGAATCCTTCGGCAGTACTGATTAAACCTTATCATTTAAGGTTCGAATGAAAATCAATGGAAAAAAGCAGAAGAAATCAGCCTTGATGATTCCAGTGGTTATTATTCCATCTCCTGTTCTACCTTCACCAAGACCAACAACGTTAACACAGTTACATTCTGATTTACGAAAAGACAGTCCTTATGATAGCGTAAGTAATATCACCCCAGGGACATTATTCTACGTCACAGGAAGTCCCTACGGTAATGAATGGGACACTTCAGCTGGGTCCCTTTATGAAAATAAACAGCACCGTTCAAGACGCACATCAAGGGTAGCACCTTTGGACGAGAACACTTCTGTTTCTTTCTTTTTTAACGACGAACCCTTTATTTCATACGTGTAATCGTATAATGACAGTTAGTCGCCAACTCTCAAAATATAAGTTAAAGTCTTTGAATCTCATTATCTGTTTCAAGTGGCGATCAAACAATGGCACTAACAACCACTTGTTGTCAACGTAGAATTCAAAATATCTACTAAAAACGCTAACCTACGGTTCAGCTATTAAGAGAACATTCTGCAAGAGACAGGAAATTACGTTATTGAATAAAACCAAAAAATTCTTGTATAGTTGGTTTGTAATCAATCTCTATGCAGAATGTAATAATGAACAATTTACTGTCATGGCCGCCATGTGGGCTGATATAACGATGCGGAAACCAATCTTTTTGCGCATTCATCCAACGTGGCAAATGACGTGGCATGATGGCTGAAGCTAATATATATTAATATACGCTAATAGAGTACAAACACTAAATGTTATACTAATAGTTATCACTATTTAGTAGTAAATAGCACTAATTAAACAAAAGAAAACAATAGAATTAGCATAAAATAGCGCTTTTTAGTGATATACATGGTGCATACTTTTAGTGTTTACATTCTATTAAGATGTACTAACTAAGAACTGATAATAATAATATTATCAAATTAATAATCTGCAGATTAAAAACGAGATCAAGTTTGTAATAAAATGCATCTCACCTTTTTCGCGCCAATGATTATTGTCTTGATTAAGTTCAAAAACATTATTCTTGATTCAACTAACCAATCAATACTGATTGGAATGCTAATGAAATGAATGAAGAATAGACCTAATTGCGAACGATCTAACAAACGAAGGTTCTAGCACTTATTAAATGAACCCTAACAAACAAATTAACAAAAGAACGAATAAATGACCTAAAGAAAAAAAATGAAAGACCTATAACGAACGAACGAACGAACAAATGACCCAATGAATTAAGAGCGAAATGAAGAAACGAAGGACCTCACTAATGAAGGAAGGACTGAACGACCGAAAGAGAGAACGAAAGAACGACCTCCTAAATGAACGAACGACCAAACGAAWGGACGGACGGATGGACGGACGCACGGACAGACGCACGGACGGAAGCACGGACGGACGCACGGACGGGATATTTATTGATGGATGAATAAATCAACTAAATTATTGAATTATAAAGAAAAGCTGGGAAGAGGGATGCGATTAGATAATGAACTGTCAAAGATATTAAGGAGTGGAGGGTTGGAAAGGAAAACTGATAAACCTAGAGAGGGATTCATGTACGTACAGAAGTTACTCTTTTAAGTACATTTGTGTATTATATTAACAGTTCATCACAGAAAGCACCTCAACAAACGAATCCAGCAGATCTTCCACCTCGCCTGTAGATGCTACTTCTTACATAAACAAAGGATATGCAGCTGAGGACGAAAGGCCAGAAAAACTCAACACCTACCTCTAGATTTTCGCCCCAAAAACAGTATTAAAATATTTTTTAACAGTTAACTATAAAAATACAACGATCCCTGACTATGCTTGAGTGTCCACCCAAACGATGGGTAGTCTGTTCCCAATGGAATACAGAATGTCCGACCAACAAACTCGAATTAATAAGATGTTTTAGTAGTTAATGATTATTTTTTAATGTACCTTTAGAATGCATCGGTTCTAAGACAGACATTTACAATTTTCAGCAATCGGTGTCTGTTCCATGCTGTATATCAAAGATACATTTTAGCTTGTCCGTCGTAGCAACAGTAACTAGGGAGGCAAAACAATGAATGATCGCTGTATAGACCGTTTTTTCAAGGTTGCGTGCGCATCCAACTTGACGGGCCACAAAACTGAAAAACGCAAATTCAGTAAAATGTTGAAGACAGTTTTATATTTAAAGAGGAGAATAAACAATTTTGTGAATTCTTATCAAAAACAATTTCGTAGCAATGCATGATAATACTGGTGTTCTGGTATCGTGGCCCTTCAAGTTTCTTAAATTTTGATGCGCACGCAGCCTTCATGAGAGAACGGTCTATTTATCTAAAAATTGAATTAGTAGTTAACGGGTACCCCCATCCAAACTACCTTGTTGCTTTGACGACAATAAATTTGGATTAAAATATGTGTCTTATGGTTTTATTTTTAGTTTCATTAGTAATGCGTTTTTGATCATATTTATATATAATCAACATGACTGTGATATTTTCCAAAGTCATATATAGAGAATAAATAGAAAACCCTAGAACATCTGGATGACAATGCTTGAGCCCGGTGAAAAGAACTGCATGACCAAAAACCTTTTCTAACATTAATTTTTTCTCGGAAAAACATTCTGAGCTCCAGAAAAACTTGACAAATACAACTCACATCTTTAATAACTTTCCAAGCAACAAACTTAACTTTCTTTTATTACTTGGTCTAAGACAAAGACTGAGTGCCTTCTGGTCAGTAGAAGCTTACGTACGTACGCCAAATATAYATGAAAAAAATTAAAAGAACTTTCTAGTTTTTCTAAAGATTTAAATTAAAATCATTATCAGGAAAAAATCAGGACATTCTTTTTTGATTCACATTATATTTATTAGTTTTAATCATTGTCGAGCTCATTAAGTTTTCATATTGTTTCTGTTTATTGACTTAATAATCTTCCAAACTACTTCCTCAGAAAGTCAAGGGTAATATCGACAATTTAATATTGATTTTTCATAACATAAATTCATGTGTTTTTTTTTTAATTGTTTAATTGTTTTGTTTTAGTTAATCAAAACTCTAGAAACAGAACAAAACAAGGTCGTGCTTGCCGCCTAACATTGCTTATGGCAAAGGACAACATCGAGTGTACGAAAACTCAATAAGGTAAGAGAATATTTAGGACATTTTTATTTTTATTAGTATATGCTATCGCTGTTAATTTTTGAAATATTTTATGTTTAATGTAAGTGTCTTAATCGATATTCGGAGGACCTTGGAAAAAAACGCAGGAACCTACGTAACTTCTAACTATTTTCGTTTGGGTGCGACTAAAGGAAAGGAAAGGAAGTTGGCCCACTGCTTATTTAGCAAAAGCTGGTTTGAATAAAGGCTTGCATGAGAAACAGCTGTGGTGCTGCTTATAAATYCTCAGTGCTTCCAAGCGTTGTGTTTAACCAGTAGTGAAGCCCTTTCGGTGCTAGTGTTTCATGGCAGCTAAAAACCCATTGAGTGCTTGTGTAAAGTGCTTCTAAGGGTCGTGTAGAAAAGCCATTTCAGTGCTAGCCTGTTTTTCCCGCCAAAAAGCCGAGTCAATGCTTGGGTTTCAAGATAGTCAAAATGGTTTATTAGTGCTTGGATTGCCTTATTAAAAAACAAACAAGATGATGAATCGCAGCTATAMATCGCAATATTTTTGATATATAAAAGTTTTCTCGACAATATTTATTATATTTATCATCTTATGAATCTTAAAWTTTTTTTCCGATCACTTCCGAGGCGCTACTGTTTTGCTCCAAAAACTCACGCGTAGGCATCCATTAAATGCTGATTATCTCGAAAACAAGCTCGGGACACACTCCATTTTTCTTTTCATATTTGGAATCAGCATTAAACTTCAGGTTAAAGAAGTTTCAATTTTCAATTTTCTGTTTATTTTTTTCCAAAGTAGTCAGCCACCTAAACTCATTTCCCCCGTTAGTTTTCCAGTGAAACAAGCAGCACTTTATGATTTATATGAAGTTCTAAGAAAACGTCTATTCAAGATCTGTATCGGGCGTAATGATACTTGTATTCGTAATTCAAAGCCTTGGAGCCTATGTATTAGGAGATGAAACCTCCTTCAAATTTGACAATTAATTTTATGGTTACGGGGCAATGATCTGTCATGTTAAAACAAGTTTATTTTCAATAGCATATATGATTCGTCATAATCAACTTTTTTCTTGTTTTTTTTTTTCTTTTCGAACAAATTAGATCTGAACATCGGAAAAATAAATTTTAATCAAATAGCTAGGGAAAAAGTTAAATAAATGAATAAGGAAACGAAACAAGCTAAACAGAGATAAAATAGAAAGATTTAAAACCAAAATTCTCACCAGAACTGTAGTACTTCAAGCAAATGTAGTTTTTAATTGATGATATCTAATTCAGTCAGTTCGGGCCGTGAAATGCGTAGTCTAAATTACATGGTAATATAGCTTACCAGAGCATCCGAAAGGGCATTAAGTATATCCATAGTTAATAGAATATTAATCAATAGGATATTAATTATGGGTATATCTCAAGAGTAGTGAGTTAGTACTTCCTTAAGTCAATAAATATTTTATATAAACACGCTAGAACATTGTAATCAGCACCACCYTTGGCAGAACGGGAAAGAAAAGAAAACTGATCCAAAACAAACGTTATACAGCAACATTTTGTAGTAGCATCATCAAATGTTTAGGTTTCTTTTAGCTGTTGAAATGAGGCATTGATGATGATGACGGCGTCTTTTTTGAATAATAAAACCAAAGTCCCAGTTGCTAGGGCAACATGACGTCTTACTTTACCAATTTATGAACACTTAAGGCATGAGAATCTCGCTTCCAGAAGTAAGTTTAATTAGGAAAGCAAAGCTAAGACGTGAACTGTTACAGTAACAGACCTAGGTCTTTGAAAAGCATGATTTATTCAAGTTAATTGTAAGGTTTTGGCCGGATTGAGGAGACTTAGAGATTAGTCACCTTGAAATGCCTTCCGCTTTAAACCAATTAAAATGCAGGAAAGAATAAACCAACCAATCAAAATGCTTGATTTCAGCCCAGCAGGATACCGTTATTTTACCCGCTCATTTGCACAAATGAAATGTTGTTGTTTTTTTGCTTTGATGAACTATGACCACTGCGCATGCTCAGCCTTGTCAATTTAGCTTTTTATCAGCTTTCAAAATTTGAAGTTCATTTTCCTATAAAAACAAGCCCTAGATTCAAAATCACACCAAAATGATAAGAAAATGTATTAATTTATCTTGCCGTATTCTGAAATACAGGGATTTTAATTAAAGTCGCTCTGAAAAGCGGTCTGCAAAAGCCGCTTTGTTTACAGAATACTTCTCTGATAACTACTGCGCGGTTGATGGCGAGTTTTTGTAGCAAGCTGCCTTTGATTTAAGTCAGTTACCCTGAGATTACAACCGTGCGTATTGTTCGTTTTTTGCCGGCCACAGCTGAAACTTGCTCTAACTTATCAATAAAACCGTATTTGGAGAGAACTGGAAGAATCTTTAYACACGCAAGACTTGAACGAAGGAAACAAGATATTTTTGAAGTCGTCAACCAAATACTTTTACTCAACCAACAAGTAAGAATCCAATGTATTATTCTGTGTATTAACTTAAGTATTCTATATATTCTGTTAATGGAAAACGCATGCGAGGACTATAGAGTTAGGACAGGCAAACTGATGATTAATACGTGTCCAGTATTTTATTTGATGCAGTAGGTATTGTACRTTAGGAAGAACTCAGGGAAAGTGTCATGAAAGATAATGGTTTTCCATTGGTAGGAAATTTTTWAAAATCTTCGTTTTCCCCCTTGAGATTTTGTTTTATAACTGGGAGAGAGAAACCTTTTTGTTGAAGTATAGGGAAATGCCTTCGAATAGAATTAGAAATTAGAGAACTGACATTTTTATGTTTATTCCAAACGGATAAAAAACGTATTCAAAGTCTCGAGAAAAACAAGACCAAGCACTTTACTCAAGAAGAATGGACAACCAATTGTGATCATTGTGACTTAGCCAATGCACTCATACAGGCTTGAATCCAAGACTTATGTAAGCACTTTACTCAAGAAGAATGGACAACCAATTGTGATCATTGTGACTTAGCCAATGCACTCATACAGGCTTGAATCCAAACCTTATGTAATCTTTCGGATCTCAGAAAGCTAATTCAGTTCGTGATATAAGAACGTTTGAACATTAAAAGAAACTGGTTCACACTGAAGGCTGTGGGATATATACAGTTAAAATATTTCCCAATTCAATAATTTTTGCTCTAATATAAGTCCAATATTTTTTTATATATTTAATATGAACCTTTTCTAAAGTACCTCCTAATTCTGTTAACAAAATAAAAATCAAAAATACTGGAATTAAGCAAGAATACATTGTTGATAATTTAATGATGAGGTTATAGCAAATTTTACCTACGTGTGTGTGGGTGTTTTTTTCTTGGATATATTAGCAACACAAAAGAATGAACTTCCCAAAATCCTTTCCTATGAAAGTGGGTATTATATAGAAACTGTTTTACATTCAGGATTCAGACACGAGAAGAACAGCGTCTGATCCAAACAAAAAAAAAATTGTTCTTGGCTTCTTGTTATAGAGTGATGTTTTTTAACTCGAGAAAAAATAGCCACGCATAATAGTTAGGTAGACGTACTCTAAACCAATTGTTTTCTTTTGTTATTATTATTACTATTATCATTATTATTACTCTATTATTATTATCAATACTATTAATAATAATAATTATTATTATTATTGTTGTTGTTGTTATTATTATTATTATTATTATCATTATTTTTGTTGTTATTATTATTATTATTATTATTGTTGTTGTTGTTATTATTATTATTATTACATGTTATTATTATCATTATTATTATTATTATTATTGTTGTTGTTATTATTATTATTATTATTATTRTTRTTRTTGTTGTTGTTGTTGTTGTTGTTGTTGTTRYTRYTGTTGTTGTTGTTGTTGTTGYTGYTGTTGTTGYTGYTGTTGTTGTTGTTGTTGTTGTTGTTGTTGTTGTTGTTGTTGTTGTTGTTGTTGTTGTTGTTGCTGTTGTTGTTGTTGTTGTTGTTGTTGTTGTTGTTGTTATCATTATTATTATCATTATTATCATCATCGACTAGTACTAATAGTCGTTCTTCTTTTACGGATAAAATAAAATCGCTCTTCCAGTTACTGCGTTTATTTCATTTTCATTTTCACCGTTTTTCACTGATCGAAATTTGTTTTTTCGCTGCCGTCAATCAAACCTAATCAGTCAGTACCTTTCATATTTTTGACTGGCGGCAGCGAAAAACCAAATTTCAGCGTGCAACTCGACTCGAGACTCGGTAACACAGAGTTCGCATGTTCATAAATATTGCAGTAATCAGTCAGTCAAGAAAGACAAGCATTTATGTTAAGTGGACAGTAACAGTGCTATGTCAGTATCTGGGAATGTCCATGAAAAGAAGAGATGTACTAGCGCTGTTGTRAACACTTCAGGTAAAATTATTGTTTAATTGGACTGGAGGAAATATGCAACCATAATAAGCAGAACTAGTATTAATCAAATAGATGTTTTTGGGGGGGAAAATGTAAATAAAATTTTTAAAAAAATAATAAGGAAATAAAAAAAGGAAAAAAAAGATATAATTTCAGTTTTACCTTACTAATCATTTACAGAATTTCTTCTAGCTCGGCTAACGATGTACTTGTTAGAAGTGAGAATTCTATTTTTCTTCATAATGATTTTATATTGATTTTGAGTCCATTTATACAGAAGCGTTCACTATCTTAGCATTATTTGTCGTGGTGACATCTTAATCGTGTTTAAATACACCAGATTAGTACGCGACCAATTTGTCCGGGACGCTTCAAAAATAATATATAGGTATTTGCGTTTGATATTAATCTTTAAACTTTGAGTGGTTATTTGATAGGTAACTTCGTTAATGCAACTATATCCTTTGCTTTCATATGAAATTTGAATATGGCAAAGAATGGTCACGTGGATATCGATACTTACCATCTATTAATATGAGCAGGTTCCAGATTTATATATATATCATTTTTTTAGACAAGGTTTTGGATTTTTCTAAAATAAGAAAAGGTAAGATATAGACTCGATGAATTTTCCTCTGATGAAAAAAATGTAGATTATACGAGAAGAGTGTAGATTTATACGAGAAGAGAGTAGATTTATATGAGAAGAGAGTAG